CAATGTGCAGTCGTCAAGTTTTCAAGCAGGAGGCACCATAATTTAAAAAGAGATATTTAGTAAGAGATAATACAGTGGATGAAGCGATATTCTTGGGGGGGTTCCAATCACTAAGCCTTACACATATATAGAAAATACGAGATACCTCCGGTATATTTGAGTTAACTGTAGGAATTAGCCTTACAACAACTGTTTAGAGGATAAGCCTCTGTCAAGGGTAATATTCTATGTAGAACAGTGCTTTGTGAGGAGGAAAATTGTTTAAGATAATACAAAGGTTTAGAGAGTCGAATTCCTTGAGGAGGACGGCAGTTGTAAGAATCATACCATTTCACCAATACACTGGCTTGTAAAATAATTCCATTCCAGGAATACGCATATACAAATCCTAAGGTTATTCATGCTGTATAAGAAACTGAGGGATACTATCACTAAAAGGGGTTCCAACATACCGAGGGTGTTTATATATTGGAAGCACTTTTTATAGGGAAAGTAGCATTGTAAGTACAATAATATGTCGTGAACTCTGATTATTCCCTCTCAATATTATTGTAATATAGATTCAGTAATTATCCGGGTACTATTAAGAAACAGTGATTACGGAAGATTTGCACACCTGCTTTAATCTGTAGTATTTTCCTCTTAACAGGACTCGAGATCGATGTGGTACTATTAAAATATAACAATTATGTAAAATGAAAGATTAAACTTCTTATACCCTAGGGAGGAATAGGAAATTATAAAAGGAATAGTACTATATAGAACGAGCTGTTACCCGTGGAGAGTTAGGAATAATAATAACATGGAACGCGCCAAGGGGATAAAATGAGCATAAGAATAAGAATACACATAAGATATTAAAGAATCATTAATCTAAAAGGGGGGGGAGCAACCATATAGGAGCGGATGACTATAATAGAATGTATATACGAATACAACTGACGTATTTGAGAAAATTATCTACTTCAAGAAACGAAAAGAGATATATGTAAGACCATATAAATATACGACGAACCAATGGAGATATAAACCTAACGATCAAAGGGGAAATGCCTAAAAGGGAAGGTACCTAATTAATACATACAGAGCAGAGGAGACAGGGGAAGGAGTTACAGGGCAAGGTGATCAGGGGATAAAAATTAGCTACTACACCCAGAGGGTAGATCCCGAAGGGACAGCGAGGGTGACACCTAACAAATAATGTGAGGAGCAAATCTTTCCCTCTGACAAAATAGATATATGAAGTCGGGGGTTTCATATTTTCGAACATATAGACAAAAGAATAAAAACAGATAATATCTTGAATCTGTGCTGAGTTCATCAAGTATAATAAATCGTGCAATAACTTAATTTTTGTCGGTATCTAAGACTATAGAGGATGCTATAACGAGCGTCTCCTTATTCACCACAGGAAAATGTAGAATGTTAAGTGGTATTCATACCCCCTTTTATACATAAGGGAATATAAGAATATACAATGCATACATTCCCCTATTAACATAAAGACATATCCTATAAAGGAGTCTTACACCACCATAGAGTTATGAGATTCTTCTGAAAAATAAGAACAAGTCAATAACTACATGATCATTTTGGCAGTGATATGGTTTTTATATGAGTTTTAAGTGTAATGCTATATGGACATATAGACCATAATAGAAGAATTCCCTCCCTTAATAATGAGTCAAATAGTTTTATGAATCTATTGTGTGTTATTCCACGTGATTAATTAACCCGAACATTCGAAAGGATTCGTGAGTTGTTGTGGGGATCATCTGAATAAACAGGGGACTCTTTATGTTTCGATACATTATCGTAATATACATTTACCCATCAGGTAGCAAAAAAGTAACTGTTTAAATAACTGGATACAGAATGTTGTGGCTTATAGAATATTTTGTTTGCTATATAGCCTATCATGAGGGATGATATAGAAATGGCTGTCATTACCTGCTAAGGAGTAGGTAAACAAAAGGATATAACATAGCGGGGGAAAATCATATAATGGTTAGGAATTTACTGATAGGGCATGGTGTATATTATAAGAGAAAAAGAAGGACAAAACAGCACTCCAAAGAAACGGAACCAGAGAAGAAAGGGATATGGGATTTGTGCCATAATAAAGTAGATTAAGCCATAAGCGCCCATAGATGGGAAGGACTAGTGTAGACCAGAACAAAGCGTGACGAAACAGGCACAACCACCTACGGACGGGTACCGAGGACAACCAAAGAAGAAAACTATAAAGACTGAAGCAGGTTTGATAAGGAATATGAAAGAGTGAGAAGTATCGAGATGAACATCATAAGAGGATATTTAAAATAATCAGTATACAGTAATTACTAAAAGACGATGTAGCAAGGGACAGACCCCTAGGAGGAGAAAAGGAGGAAAAGGAATATCCGAATTTTACGACAAGGATGCCTCACCAAGAATAAACCATATGAGGAATATACGATCATATATGATCACATGCCGAAGGACTAGAGCAAAGGGAACAATACACTGCTAGGAAAGAAGGATCACACAACTGGGCAAAGGAGAATTAATCCTACAAATTCAACCGTGGGGGCAAATGGAAATATCCCTGCAGAGGAGGATCCAGGGCGGGGTCAGTACAATACCATAATTAGGATTATATATTATTCGGAAGATAAGCGCAGGGCGCGGGGACCGAACTAGTACGGGTAAAGATGGCCTAAGGAGAATACTAGTCTATATACGACAACGAAGTGAAAGAAAAGAACACCCAGAAGGTGTGGAATGAATAAGGATAGGTATATATAACAGAAGGACTGAACGGAAATTCCATAAACCATATATGAAGTACTTATAAAGTATAAAGTTAATAAAGGAGAGTGGATGCCAATGACCAAACAGGAATTGATAAGCAAGAGAAGAGAGAAAAGTGGCCATTATACACTGATGTAGGGATATATGTAAATGGGGGGATCATAGGAACTAAAGCCCATAGAGTAATTCATGAAAACCCTAGCCACCACAGGAAGAATAAGATATACGCCCAAAGAGAGAAACACAAGGGGCTCTAGTACAAGGATAAAAAGGACCAGTCCCCCCCCCTTTCGAGAGTGAGGAAGAGAAACCATAAAGCAATGATCCCTCAATGAAACAGTATGAGACTTCAAGATGAGCCCAAAGTGGATAATCTCCTAAATTATGAATGAAATAGAATAAGTAATATGAGCGACTTGTCCAACTTCTGAGGGAACAGGGGCTTCTTAAAAGATGCTCACCAGGGGACCACCCCATTACAGAACTATGAAGAAATCTGGACAGCAACAAAGAAGACATCAACCGGAGGGAATAGGATAGGAAATAGAGGAAGGGAATCAGATAGCAACAAACAGGAATTATGAGAGTAAAAGGATATAGGTTATACCCGGAAGGTAGCGAGTGAAAAAGAAGAGAAATAGAAAATATCGAGCGGACAGGTTTGGTATACCCCAGTGGCAATATATGGAGAAAATTATAGCAGAGGTATTCTCATACCCCAGGTATGAGACACCTTAACAGTAGCAGAAGCCGCAATAGGAGCCACCAGGGGAGGGGGTTCATTGATAAGGGAAACGTAAGTCAAGATCACAGAAAGGCCAGAATCGATAAGAATCTAACAGTAATGAAAGCAGGCCTTTTTACGGGCGCTTCCAGATAGAGGATCAACAGATCATAGGAATTAGAAGCCTGGGAGGAAGAGAAACTAGTCTTTAAGCCATTGACGAACCAGCAACAGATAGTAAAGGATTTTTTAACAGTAGAGGAAATGAAAACTGAGGAGCAAAGTGACAAATGAGTCGTCCAGCTGGAGAAGGACAAGTGAGAGGGACTGTATTGACGCCTGAACAAGGACTTTAAGTAATCCCCTCAGGGAAAATGTACCGGATACGAGGCTGTGGGCTCAATTAGGCTTAAGGATGGAATCTCCCCCGCGTAAACGGAGGAGTAAGTAATAGGAAGTAAACATGATTAGGTAGTTATAGGAAGACTCAAACGAACCTACCCTTCCCGAAGAAAAGGAAACTGGCCATTGAATCAGAGGAGAACCCCAAGGATCTGCAGGCGCGAGTCACGGATGGGATTTTGAAGCTACATAGAGGAAGTTGCGGGGAATCTAAGTTAACTACAAGGCCCCAGAGATGACAAGCCTTCAGAACGGAGGAACCGTAGCACCCCGGCCGAAGTAGGATTAGAGTTTAATTCTGAGTAAGAGTAATGGGGGGAATATTATTAGGAAAGAGGGAGTTAATAGGAAGGACAGAACAGTAGAGTCTCCATGATGAGGGGGAGATTCCCACAGAAAACCCATCCAACAAGGGGCAATTAGAGCAACATGAAGGAGAAGCCCCCAGATCTAAAGTAATACGTCTAAGGAGAGAAGGGATAAGAACCGAGGAGATGGGGAGAATAGAAGCTAAGGACCATTTCAAGGAAAAGGCTAAAAACAAGGGATTCCCCCTCCAAAGGCTCTAAAGTCCGAGCGAAGACGAATCTGAATATAAGGGGCACTTAAAAAGGAAGCAGAGGAAATAGGCACAAGTACAGAAGATAAGGCTCAAGGAGACTAGACGGGGGATTTATGTTTAGTCTTCGAGCGACTGCCCCAGAGGGCTAAGGCCGAGGGCCTTTGGGAAACAGATGATTCGTGTCCCCAAAATACAGGCAAGTGGCCTTTTATGTCAGTGACCAGAAGAGATTCACCTGGTAGAGAAAAAGATCAGGACTCTAGCAAACAACGGCAAGAAGAAACTGTGCAAGGCATTAAGTCCGCCCTAGCTAGCCAGAAATCTAGATAACAGGCAACCCCAAATGCAGCTCAGTACCAAGCAGAGAGTCGGCAAAGGAGCGGGAAAGAATTAGAGAGGATTAGGAATAAAACTCAGTGAATCTATGAAACAGGGCGTCAAAGAAATGCAACTCTGACCCCGAGTCTCACAGACTAACTTAGTCAGTTAATAAGTGAAGTTTTTCCAGGAGGTTAAGCAATGGGGATAAGCCTACAGGAATATATAAAAGATGTGTGGAAGAGAAGCCCCTGCAGTAATAACTCAAATCAGATAAAATCGGACAATTTCGAACTATGTGACCTTAGAACAGGAGGGAGGAGGAGTGGCATAATTATACCAGCTGAAAGGGGACCTACCCCCAGAGGAGGCAATGTCATGAGCAGGGAAGCTATAAAAGTGAGAGCAGTTATGGTTTGTCGGGCTATCGAGGGATGGATGTCGAATCTAGGCCTCCACAGAGGCCAACCCTTGAAATGGGAGGAGGACAAGTGCAAAATAACAAATCTAGGGGTCCCTAATGGTGGGAGGGACGAAAAGAAGTGTCCAAGAAAGGATCAGCTGGAGAATTGGCAGGCCTTTGATAGCAGCACTCCTTTATATTTGCAGCAGGAGAGACATTGTACATTTCGAGCCTGTATAGATCTGATGAGTATATTCTTTAATATCTATAGTGAATATAATAGTTCCAAATTGAAGGAGGCTCAGGCCACAGGGACCAAAATTTGCCAAGAAATAAGTGAAGGTCTAAGCAAGTGGGGAGGGCAAGAAGTAGCTAACAGGATAATGGAGGAGTGGTTCTTGAGAACCCCCGGGAAAGTCTCTAACAGTTACATAAGGATGAGTGATGGGGAGCCCTTAAGTCAAACCCTAAGTATATTACTGAACCAAATGGGATTCCCCATACTAGGAGTCCAGTGTACTAAGGAACAGGACAGCCCCTCCAAATTCCAAGACAGCTGCGTCTATACGGCACCAGGACAGTGTGAGATAATGGGAGGGGATGAAGAGGCCGAAGCACAAGTCACAAGAACAGGTAAGCCCGTGAGGGGAATATCCAGTTGACTAGGAGTTGTGAGCGTTTTTCTACAAGCCCAATAAGGGGGAGTAGGGGATACCTACCGCAATGGGAGGGTATAGTTTAAAAACCAGTTGAGAAATATCTGTATTTATAGGTGTTATAAGCGAAAAAATTATAAACCAAGTGAAGCAGAGGGAGGAAGAGACAAGTGGCGAGGGGGATATTACCAAACAGACGGAGCAATTTAGACGACAGACCGAAACCAGCGCAAGAGCCGTGGAAGAGAAATTAAGAGCAGGTAGAAGCTCCTTTAATGTATATATGCCCATTTTAGGAACAGTGTTACCTCTTCTAGGCATTGCAGTGTTTATATACATGAGGAAGAGGGGTAATAAGAGGCATATCATCCCAAGACTCAATCCCACCTGTCCCAATGAGGAGCAAATTATCAGGCCGAACTCACGAAGGGGAGTTATTACCTATAGAGGAAGTCGTCCCACGCCAGGCCATGAGTCAGTAAACATTGAATAGGACCAGATGGGGGTTCCCGCGTGGAGTGCTCAGTTAGAAATTTAAAGATAACCCTTTGAGTTAGAAGTCTAAGGGACCGAATATTCCGCTTCACGCCTTTGAAGTCTAAAATTCCAAGTTTAGAATTGTAGATATGGATATTGAAAGTACGCATAAAAACTACTCCGTTATTCCTAGAAGTTTAAGGAGACAGAATTGAGCAATTAGTTTAGAGTAGACGCCATAGGTTTAGAATTCAGATATCCCGGATGTAGTTACTGCGTTCTGCGGGAAGGGAATACTAAGTTCGTCAGACCGATTAAGTCAGACCGGCCTTAGATGTCTTAGGAAATAACAAGTTAACTGAAGTATCGAATAATCATCCAACCCAGCAACATTTCTCCCCAAGGCCGTACCTTATGTTTTAGAGTGGGGGCTGTGCAAGTTTGCATTTTTATCATCTCTATAATAATTTCCATCTTATTAATCCCTTCTTCCCTGAAATATTAGAGAAGAATCCATAATATGATTAATAGAAAAATAGAATTGTCCCAAATGAAATAGTGAATAGAAAAATTAGACTCGTATGATTATCTGTGGGAGGGCGTTTTGGTCTTGTCTGAATTTCTTCCTTACCGAATATGTCAAATCCTTCTCCTCAAGTGTCGTCTGTGTAGAGGTGTACCTTCCTTATAGAGTGTACTAGTAAGAGGACGTCGCGTAAAGGACCTAAGGGAAGCCAGTTTTCTACTTAGGACAGGTATTGTTTTATCGATTTGTTTTGATTTGCTGTATCCGGGGAAAGAGGAAAAAATCAAATAGTATGGTTTCCTCCTGATTCCTAAGGTGAGAAGACTCCAGACATTGGTGTGTTATCTTATACATGACTCCTAGGAATACATCCGTTTGGTGACTCGACTGGAGAGATCTTTTCATCCTTTATTAGATAAAATCTGTATTGGCATTCTCGATTATTAGGATGGTCGTGGTGATATGTGGTCCTTGAAAGAATGTCTAGGTCTAGAAAGAAGTAATCAATGAATCCTTAGGCCCATCCTGTATAAATATTATGATAACTTCAAGTGACGAACAAGCATTCAAGTACAGGGGGACGGAGCTGAGTAGTATCAAAGCGTATTATCATAGCAAGAAAAGAGAGAATGTTCTCCCAGTCTGACGTTATTCCGGAAGTGTGCAAAGGCCGGATTATTTAACCTTGGGCAATCCGATATGGAGGATTAATTGACATTTAAATTTTATTGTGGAGATGTTGAAGAATAGGAATATTTGACAAGAAGAGGGACCGAACATTTTTCAGCCGACTGAAAATATCCAAAAAGTTTATAGGTAAGGAATAAATTGACTAAAACCTAAAGAACAAATGATTCCTCCTCTTAATTTTATTATGAAAATTAACAGAACGAGGAATATTTCAGACAAATAACAGGAGAAGATGATTTATCTCTTTGATATTGTTCAAAAACTCATAATCCCAACAAATAATTAACCAAATCTAAAAGAGGAAGATGTTTGCCAGGATTAATATTGTTTCAGAAATTACAGTGGCAAAGCGTAATCAAAGAAAGAATCCGGGAAACGACAATCCCCCCCTTTAATTTTATTAAATACCTTACGACAACAAAATTAATTCCCCACAAGAAAAGGCAGAAATTTTCGACGGGGGGAATTTTATTACATATATTGATATAGCAGAAATAATTACCAAAAAGAGAAGGAGGCGATTTTTCCAGGCGGGTAATTTTATTACATATATTGCTATATCAGAAATAATTGCACAAAAGAAAAAAAAGAAGCGAGTTTTCCACACGGGTAAATTTATTACATATATTGCTATAGCAGAAATAATTACCCCCAAAAAAACTGGCCAGTTTTCCACCTGGGTAATTTTATTACATATATTGCTATAGCAGAGATAATTGCCCAAAGAAAACAAGGCGAGTTTTCCACGCGGGTAAATTTATTACAGATATTGCAGTAGCCGGAGAAATTAAGATGGCCAAAAGAAATCAGTTTTTCTCCGCTTAAGATTGTTAAGAGATTTCACGGGGCAGAAACTCGTTAAAAGAAGATACAGAGTGAGAATTTTTCATACGTTTAATTTTATTCCGAACACTAAAATAGCGGCCAATTAATTGGAAGGAAAAAAGAAGCGAAGAATATTCCGCGCGGAAGATTTTATTCCATAAAATCATTTGCGAAGGAAAATTAAAGCACGAAGAGGACAAACTGATGTTTGACTCGATCAATTGTATTAGCCGCCTCGAAATGGCGACAAAAAATTAACCAAATAACAGGAAGGCAATATACCATACGGTTAATTTAATTCCGGAAAAATTCAGGGTGCCAAAATGATAAGCAAAAGTTGGAGGAAGTTTTGTACGAATTTGATTGCGTATGAATCATGAAAACTCCAAAGGAAAAATGGACCGAACGAGGCAAAGGCGGCTGATCAAAAAGTCTAATCTTATTACAAATCTTCCCCACACAGAGAAATTAAACGGAAATGACCAAAAAAATATTCCGTCCATGTAAATTAATTCCATGAATTCGGGTGCCAAAAAAATAATAAGGCAGCGAAGAAATCACATGTTCAACTCCTTTAGAATCCTTCAGAATAATTATCGGTGGGTGTAATATTTTGCAAGACAAAGAAGGGGAGGGTACTTTCACACGTGTAATGTCATTCCGAAGATGTGTGTACAAAGCAATAATTGAAAGAATGGCAAACGAACCAATGTTCGACCCGCTTTAGTGTCATTCGAAATAATTACCGGTGGAAGTAATATTTTGCACACAGAAAAAGGGAAAATAGTTTCAAACATGTAATGTCATTCCAAAAATGTGTGTGCAAGGAAATAATTGATGGAATGGAAAAAAAGTGAATGTTCCACCCCATTACTGTCATTCAGAATAATTACCAGACGGAGATGGATTTTTCCCCAAAGAAGAAGGGAAACTGTTTCACCCGTGTAATGTCATTCCAAAGATTTGTGTACAAGGCAATAATTGACAGACTAGAAAAGGAACAAATGTTCCACCCCTTTACTGTCATTCTGAATAATTACCCAAGGAGGGCAACATTTTGCACAGAGGAAAAGGAACAGTAATTTCACACGTGTAATGGCATGCCCAACGTGTGTTTGGAAAGAAATAATTGAACAAAGGAAAAAGAAACGAATATTCCCCCCCTTTAGTGTCATTCGGAATAATTACCGGACGGTGACAAATTTTCCCCAAAGGAAAAGGGAAGATAATTTCACACGTGTAATGTCAATCCAGAAATGTGTGTGCAAGGCAATAATTGAAAGAATGGCAAGCGACCCAATGTTCCACCCCTTTAGTGTGATTCGAAATAATCAGCAGACGGAGAAAAATTGTGCCCACAGGAAAAGGAAAAATAATTTCACAGGTGTAATGTCATTCCAAGAATGTCTGTGCGAGGAAATAATCGAACCAATGACAAGCGACCCAATGTTCCACGCCTTTAGTGTCATTCAAAATAATTACAGGATGGGGCAAGATTTTGCACACAGGAAAAGGAAAAATAATTTCACACGTATAATCTCAATCCAAAAACGTGTGTGCAAGGCAATAATTGGAAGAATGGCAAGCGACCCAATGTTCCACCCCTTTAGTGTGATTCGAAATAATCAGCAGACGGAGAAAAATTGTGCCCACAGGATAAGGAAAAATAATTTCACAAGTGTATTGTCATTCCAAAAATGTCTGTGCGAGGAAATAATTGAACCAATGGCAAGCGACCCAATGTTCCACGCCTTTAGTGTCATTCAAAATAATTACAGGATGGGGCAAGATTTTGCACACAAGAAGAGGAAAAATCATTTCACCCGTTTAATGGCATGCCCAACGTGTGTGTGCAAAGAAATAATTGAACAAAGAAAAAACAAACGAATATTCCACCCCTTTAGTGTCATTCGGAATAATTACCAGAAGGTGACGAATTTTCCCCAAAGGAGAAGGAAAAATAATTTCACACGTGTAATGTCAATCCAAAAATATGTGTGCAACGAAATAATTGATCAAATGCGAAATGAACGAATCTTCCACCCCTTTACTTTCATTCGAAATAATTAACAAACGGGGACAAGTTTTGCCCGAAGGAAAAGGAAGGATAATTTCACACGTGTAATATCATTCCCAAAATGTGTGTGCAAGGCAATAATTGACGGAATGCAAAAGGAAGACAACTTCCCACCGTTTCGTGTCATTCCCAATAATTACAGGACAAGGCAATATGTTGCACAAAGGAGAAGGAAAAATAATTTCACACGTGTAAAGTCATTCCCAAAATGTGTGTACAAGGAAATAATTGAACAAATGGAAAACCAACGAATATTCCACCCCTTTACTGTCATTCGCAATAATTACAAGACGGGGCAATATTTTGCACACAAAAACAAAGGGGGATGATTGACTTGGGTAATGTGATTCCAAAAATGCAGGTGCGGGAAAATAATTAAAAGAATCCCAAAACAGCGAAT